TTGATGTCTTCAGTGCGGGTGTGAATAAATACTGTTACGTTAATTGATGTTGAAAATTTCAGGTGAGACTCAGACTCAGACACTCAATAGTTTTAATATTATTTGACCCTCGATTTTGAAATATCATTTCAAAATCAAACTACTATCATTATCACTGAAATTAGTTTGACCCTTTGAAAATGTGACAAGATTCTGCAAATATACTTTGAGCTATCAAAAATGATCAGGATTTTATTATCTCAGACAAGAAAAATGGACAATAAGTAAGAGGCTTCACATCTGTTACAAAAACTGAAAGAAACCTTTTTTTTTCGAAATGAGAAAATGTCTCCAATTGAAATTTCATAATTCTACATAATTTTTTCTTTCTCGGAGTTATTGTCAAATCAACTGAAATTCTTGTTTTATAAGTAATATTTTTAATGTATTTGCTACCAATTTATGTATATTTAAGATACCTAACTGAAAGCGATTCGTCTAAGAGTCAACTTAAATGTTACTTTTACTTTTCCATATCTTATAACTCACTTCCAACTGTGAATTAATTAAAACACCATATGACTTTTCCCATATAGTTATACCTATCACTTTTAGAAGGAGTTTTACTGCCTCAATGACAATGGGTAATAATAATGAGTCCAGATATATTTAAAAAAAAAATATGAAAAAGAACTCAAATCATACTTACAAAGGGGTATATCGTACTACAGATGGAGTTTGTTTCAATTCTATCATGGAAAACCTCGTCGAATCGAAAAATGTTGAGGAAATTGTTGATTTGATATCAGGATGGCGACATTCACTTATACTTTTCAGTTTGTTAACATCGAATTTGAGTTTATCTGAAATTAAAAGGAAAATACCTGCATGAATTTCAAGTTAATATGCACATGTTTACACCGCCCATGTACATTTCTGATCGTTTTATATTAATATTTCTGTTGATGACATACGATATTTTTGTGGTAGTTGCAGACTGAAAAATATAGTTTAAAAAAACTAAAAAACGCACTTTTTAAGAACATCGAACTGAAAAGTTAAAAATATTTTTTTAAATAAGCCTAAAACAATAATGAACGAAAAATAGTATGCACTTCGAAAAATTTATATAACTCACCTGTTTGAATCGGACCTAGCTGTTGAGCAATGTTGAAAATATAATCAGCAGTCCAGAAATTGGGAATCCTCACAAAAATTTTGCCAGTTTCTGCTGGCAAATAAAAACCCAGTTTATGTAGAAGTAATACAAATGGTTGATGTTTCAGAATATTCGCCTGGTCACATGTCCATGGTATTACTGGAATCGGTAAACCCAACACTGAAATGAAAAGAGAGGTCAATCAGAATGAATAAATGAAATTTTGTGGTTCCATGAAAGATATCTAATTTTACATAAATCGATGAATAATAAAAACCAGCTTGATGTTATATCGTCTACTGCTGATTCGAATACAACAGTATTTTTCCAGATGTAGTAAATTATAAGCATAAATTTCAATAGAGCATGTGTGAGTTACTCATACTGAGAAACCTAAAAACAAAATACTTTCCAGACTTTCACTGGTATCAATATCTTTCAAAATTTGATGCTGCCAGTGCCAAAGAAGAAAGTTGACTAGTTCTCAATTTTATAGCTTTTCTTCAAATTCGAAATCTTGTCAATTCGACTTTTGTTTTAAATTTTTCGTATCTTCCGCATCATCGATTACGAATAAACACGATTAAAATTCCGCAATTTTGATCAATACGAACTTCGATGTCATATTTTGCCCAAAATATACCCACATTGACCTGTTATGAGGAAAAAAATAAATGCACCTCCAGAAATTCGTCTTTGTTTTTTCAAAGTTTAACTAGTTTTTTCATTTGATTGTGAAATGGGTTCACATTACTAGAAAACTTATGATTGGAATCTGTCCTGGATTCGAATCGTCATATTAGGTTTTATTTCTTCGGTAAGTGTTTAGGAGAATGAAATACTCACATGCAGAATAGTAAACCGTTGGTTCCATTTTATTATCCGGAAATTCATCTGGATTACTCAGCACTAATTTTACATAACAAGCCTCCAATAGAGAGGTTTGTAACCACATCAGAAACTTCCCTTTGTTTTCCTTGAACAGGAATTCTCTCAACACTTTAATATCGTTATCGATCGGGTGATCGCTTTTTGTATTGTCCATGGAGAAATTTTCGAATATTTTCTCGTCGGAATCGAATCGTTCTATTTTGTTTTTTGTAAGGTCATTGTATTCGTTTTCGGTGATGATATTCTGTTCTAAGAGTTCATGAATGACAGCATGGGGTGTTTTGTACCTCATACCACTTTCCTCGTATTTTTCCGTTATTTTCGCTATCGCGTCAGAAGATTCTCTGCTTTGGTTGTAATACTTGATGAGGTTCTCTTTTTCTTCTCTTGTCCACCTAAATAATATCAGTATTTCATCTAGAGAGCTAAACCTATACAAAAAGAGAACAATAATTTTTATTTGTAAAAATTTTCTAGTTCAACTTCCGTCACCAGGTGTTAGAAACAGAGAAGCTCTCAACCAAGAAATTCTTAGCGTTAGTAAAAATTATAGTTTTCCTGAAATGAGAAAGTTTTAACTGCGTGAGTCATTAAAGTCTACTTACTCGGGCTGGCTGTATTCTGAGTGAGAAAAATGTTCTACTTCCTTTGAATCTTTATGAGGATTCTCTGTGGTTAACGACGTGTTCGCACTGTCGACGCAGGGACTACTTGGATTATTTATAAACTTGTGAATGACATATTCTATCAAATCTGACCAATCCTGTTTGGAGAATAATTGAGTTTAGTTGATAATTCTTGAAAACTACTTAACATAGGGAGATTTTGATGAAAAAAAACTAGTCGGGGAACATTATACGAAGTCTGTTCAAAAAAATATATCTATTTTCGTTGAATAGACACATCAGGTTTTCGGATAAAATGATAAAAAAGATATAATTTCACAAATAACCCAATCTAGTTTTAACTGATTCATATGTTTGCGAGTGAAATTATTTTAGGTTCCAATTATTCACCACATTCTTTTGAATGCAAAAAAATGTGTAATTTACAAGGATCTTTTTTTTCAAAATTCAAAAATATTCATAGTTTATGAACTATAAACAACAAAACCGAACACTGCTTTACGGTCTTTAATTGTTTATAACTTTTACAATTTCTCATGAACTAATTTACTTTTTTTTTTAAATGATCAAGACAATATTCCGGATCGAATGAGCCTAACCAATTAATTTTACTAAAAGTATGTCCATTTAACACGAATCTAATCTTAAAGCCCAGATTATTAACCAGCAATTAGTGGTAAGAAAATATACATAAATTACGTTGAAATTTATTTCATGAAATATGCAATATTCAATGGAAAAAAGTCAGTTCTTTGAGAAATTCCAAAATTGGCTGTGTTCTACAGATATCAATAAAAACAAATATACATTTTGTATCATGTCGTATCATAAAAGGATAAATTGCCACTAATTTGATAATTTGAAATATTCAACACTAAATCGTTAACCTCGATTAATGGTTTGAATTCTCCTTCATTACCCACATGACACAAATATTTGGAAACTAGTAAATTACTTATTTTCACTTACGTCACATAATTCATAATCAGTTTCCCAAATTTGTGAAAATGTTTTCAATATACTAGGTTGAAAAAGGGATGATACATTTTGCAGATCTCCTCCGATATGATGCATCATAGTAAATATGCAATTATTCACAAATTCTCCGTTTTCTTTGAAACTCTCCAGCAACAATCCATATTGACGCATTATATCAACAGTGGCAAACCTGCAATTATGGATGCACATCGTTATCAAAGTTCATCAGGGTTATTGAGCAGTTAATTTACTGTTTCAAGTGATCCACGAGTCCACATTGGTGATTCTGAACTACAGAATAATTTTCCAGAAAGAGCAAGAAATTATGGTTGGTCAGAATTAGATCTTGTAAATATTGCCTACTCTGAATGCTGGGATTATATTGTCTCAATAATAGAACGAACAACATTTTCAGATTTTCCATTTCTCCTATTTGCTTTTGTAGCGTTGCCAAGTGGTCTTTGTCTGCGTCGTTAAGATGGAACATTTTTTGATAACTTTCCACGCCTTGCAAAAATTCTCGTATGGCTGTCACCACCTATGAATCATCACATACAAAAAATTATTATATAAATAAGACAGAATGTGGATATGAACAGTGAAATACTAACGGATCAGATCGCATTTTCGAAAAGCCTTCAAAACTCTTACTCATTTAAACAAATATTGGGTAAACCTTAAAGCGAAATGTTGCATTTCTTTAATGTCCCCCTCCCTTGAACGGGTCAAATCAAAAAATTTAAATTTGGTATAATGGAATAAATGCATGAATATTTTATTTTAAAGTGAAATTGACAGATGAAACTTTCAAGATGGCAACTGGGCACCTTCTGGAAAAAAAATTGAATAGAAAGGGGGGTCTTGAGACACACCATTTTGAAGCTCCTGACGAATATTACACAACCCTAGAATATGAAGTCAGTATCTTCACCAACTACTAAATGGCTGAACATTTAATAATTTTCTGAAGACAAACACATTAATATCAATATTTCTATCTGCGATATGGCAATTCCAACAACCCGATAAGGTTTGTTGAGTTATTTTTTGTTTATAAAAACGGCAAAGAATGTCAGTACGAAAATGAACATCATTGTTCAGTTAGAATGTTCTCATTTAGTTTTCGGTTTTACTAGTAGAAAGGTACCACGTCAACAATCTCTAAAATGGTCGATTCTCGTCCATTGGAAGAAAAAATTGAAACTATTTTTATTTACGGTGCGACGCGTAACTTTCACGAGACCGAAAGCATTTTCAATGAACGTTTTCCAAATCGTCCTATCTGTAGAAAATATTTAAGGGAACTTGTTTTAAATTCACAACTACCGGTAGTGTACATAACAAAAAGCCCCCAGGTCATCCGTCCAGTCCGGAAGAACAGCAAGTGCAAATAATTGGTAAGATGGTAGTAAATCCTGAACAGTCTACTTATTCCGTCGTGAATATTTGTGAGGTGTCTCCTTCTTCTGTGTGGAGACTTTTGAAGAGGAATAGGTCTCATCCATACAAAATTAAAATGGTACACCAATTAACTGAAGATGACCCTGATCGAAGTACAGACTTCTGCGAAATCATGACAGAAACAATTGCAAGACATCCTACCTATCTCCAGAATATTTGATTCAGTGACGAATGTACATTTTTTGACCGGCAATGTTCACAAACAAAATTGCCGTTATTGGAGTGAACTAAACCTTCACGTTTTCAGGGAGACACATACCCAATATCCAGAAAAAATTAACGTTAAGGTAGGAATATTGAGAAAACATATTGTAGGACCTCCATTTATTGATCAAAATTCAACAGGGGAACTGTATTTGAATATGCTGGAAACTATTGTTGACCCTCTCATCACTGAAGTCGTCGAAGCGAATCCTAATGAATTCGATATAGATATTATATTCCAACAAGATGGAGCACCACCACATTACTCCAGACAAGAAACCATTTGGATACCACTTTTCCCGGCCATTGGATTGGCCATCGAAGTCCTATAGATCGCCAGATTCGACACCTTTGTACTTTTTTTATGGGGCTATTTGAAGCAAAAGGTGTACGAAACTGAACTTGCTTCAATACTGGATATACGGCAGAGAATAATAAATATTTGTAGAGATAATGACGTTACTGTGTTCGAAAATGTTCAGCGTGAAATATCGGATAGACTGTTCATATGTCAAGAAGTTCAAGGCAATCATTTCGAGCATCTTCTGAACTAACCTTAAGCTTATTACCACATATTATGTAGTTAAATGTCAATGTATTCAAACAATTATTAAAAGTTCCGGCATTTTGTAGTAGTTGAAGATATTGACATTATATTCTAGGGTTGTGAAGCATTCGTCAAGAGCTTCAAAATGATATGTTTAATTTTTTTCCCAGATGTTGCCCAGTCGCCATCTTGAAAGTTTCATCTGTCGATTTTACTTCAAAATAAAGTATTCATTCATTAATTTCATTATCTCAAATTTCAATTTTTTGAATTGACCCGTTCAAAAAAAAAGGTGGAGACATTATAGAAATGTACTGTATTTTAACAACGAAAGAAATTATCAATCAGAACAAACAGTAGCTTAATTTACATTTTTCGGTAAGTTTCCTTTCGGAAAGTCTCATATAGCCGTCAAAATTAATAAATGATTAAAAAAAAAATTATTGAACCAATATAAATGTGAACAAAGAAGGAATCATTGAATGGTTCAGTTAGCGATCCAGCCATGTCGATACAATAGGTTTTCAAAGTAATATGTATTATCGATATGTTCCAAAATTCCTGGGTTATTGCGAATGGCATTAACACTATTTAAAATTCTGTTTCTTGAGTGATTCACATCCATCACTGGCGTTGTATGAAAAATTGATTCAAGATGTATACAAGAAAAATTATCTAGGGGATTCATGTCCGGAGATCGTGGTGGATGAAGCTGAGATCCCACACGCCCTAACCACTTCTGAGCAAAAGTGTATTTGAGATATTCACGAGTAGTACGACTAAAATGAGCAGGTGATCAGTCGTGCATGAACCACATATTTCCTCATACTACTGAAGGTACATTTTCTAGTACACCCGGGGTAAATCTTCGAAAAACTTGCTATACGTCACACCATTCACACTGGGAGGGAGAATATGTGGCTCCCTATGAGGTTGTCACTAATCATTCTTGTCCTGGCATTTATCTAAAACTCCTGCTATAATCCATTTTCTACAATAACATGATAATTCTCTTAACGCCATAAATGATTATTATGGAAGTTTCTGATAGCATTTCGTGAAAAACTTGCCTTATCTGGGAACAAAACTTCAGATGTGATTGTTTGCAAAAATCAGAAGGAACCACCGACAAAAATGCAATCGCTTAGGTACAGTGCATGGACCCATTCTATGTGGCATAAATATGGTTAATTTGTATGTAAAAACCTTCAAATACTTTGTTGAACTGTAGAGATAATATCGTAAAGTCAAGCATGTAATTTTTCTGATGGAATCTTACTACGAATATCGTTCTTGATAAATTTGACGGTCTTCTGCAGCATTGCATTTGACAAGTCCATAAATTGAAATGCATTTGAGCTAATTCGGCGTTGTTGATACTTATTTGGTGAGGTGGTGTTTCCTCAAAACTATTTTACAATGTATATAAAATTTCTTCTAAAGAAAGTACTATCAGGATATATTCTTTGGACATCTTCTTTGTAGAGGTCTCAACACTGCTTACTCTTTACATGTTGGAAATGGAAATATGAACCGTAACAGAATTCTCTAAAAACATCCAGTACATATATTCATGTAGACAATCGCATATGACGTATGTCAAACGTATGTCAAAAGAATTAGAGCTATTCACAATTAGAGGGGAATATTTTGGAATGAATTTCAAATTTTAAAAACAGAAAAAGATTGATTTACAAAACACCAAGCACTAAAGAAAGCTAATTATAAATATTTAATATTTTTTCCATTATTTTTTCAATTTCCAAGCAAAATGTATGAATACAAGTTAGTCTTCAGTAATTTATATCACTCAGTAACTTTTCGGGGTAAAACTTTCAGTTTGCTCTTTGCTACACTTCAGCGGATTCTCTATTGATTTAGCTTTCTTCATTTTTCGTGTAATTTCAATGTTTATACAGTGTCATCCCCAAAGTATGCACCATACGGGAAACTTATTTATTAAGGGTTTTTCGACAAAATGTTATTCCTGATAAAAGTTTGTGCATCACCTAAAACTAAACATGCATCAACAAAATACAGTTAAACACACGTAAGATACGAGGAGCCTCCAAATATTTGATTTTGAGACAAGAATATTTTTATTTTGAAAAATCTCGGAAAATGTTATTCAATCACCTCCTTGAATGTTTTACACTTATTCAGTTACACCCTGTATAAATTGTGGAAAAGTTCGATGTAACCAGTCCAATGGATGAAGCTATAGCAAAACGTATCTTGAGTATGAATTTTATTGTGAAAATTCTTTAATTATTTTTATAGATAGTTCGTTCAAATTTCGCAACCCAGCAGTTTGAGAAACATTAATTTCAAGTAGAAACTGAGATGAAATTGTTATTACATCAGTTATTGTCAGGTACATATCGATTATAAATTTCAAAAAACTGATAGATCCGTGTGAATTTCTGTAATTTACTTCAATTCTCAACAGTGAATCCTATCTTGCCTACTCACCAAATGTAATCGTCTCAAACAAGGCTTCAGATCAATTTCAGGTATTCTACAGCTGATTTCAAGTTCCTCATACACCCAAACTCCCTGGAAAATCAAATAAGATAGGATCTCGTACGACAAAACAGGACTTATGTGCTCGGGATCTAACTCCAGTTGCGTGGCAAATTTCAAAAAATAAGTAACCAACCAAAAAAAGTGAGAGGTGTCGATTTGAATGTGAATGTTTGTCAACAGGTGGGAGTGCAAGTCATTCACTAATGTACCGTAACATTTCAACAAGAAATCTACTGTAAATTCTTTCAAAATATTGGCGATATCCTCATCTGTTGGCAAGTGATGTAATAGACCTTTCATGTTGATGCTGAAATTGAAATACACTTTCATTATCAAAAAATCTTCAATACAGGGTGCCCCAGAATCAACGCAAGATTCGATTCGAATAAAGAATGCAATTTTGAGTATTATCATTGTTATTTTTTCAGTGGATTGAAAATTCGAACAGAAAAGATTATTTATGGAATAACACATTGGCCAAATAGCCTCGACACTTTGCCTTCGACTTGTATCGGAATACTCAAATTCAGAAAGAGTCATACACAAAGATTTTTATTTTATTTCGGACCTAAACTATACAAATGTTACCTTTAAAAGCAGAAGGCGCTCGTGTTAATAAAAAAATACTTTTTCAAATGAATAAATACATGTACAGTGAGTTCGAATTGTATAAAGGAGGTTACCTACAGCGCCATCTGCCCGCGAATAGATCAGGCAATAATGTCGATAATTCTGGAGTTACAAACAAACATACATACACGTGAAGTTGATAAAAGCGTGTTAATAAAAAAACGTTAGGTGAATTATCCATGTTTCCTTTGGACCAAATATATCATCTCTCGCCAGTGACGGTTAGAATTACAAATCTATCGAACAATAAAGAATAAAATTCCAAACATACGGTCTGTTTTCGTAGCTTGAGTGGTCTGAAGTATATATTAATCGTTCAAGTGTATTCTGTCTTAGAAATTTCTCGTGAATAATGCTACTACCTTTTTCACGAACGTTCCACTTCACAGTTTGGAATTTCAATTAATGAAATCTGAAAAATAATTCAGTATGTATTACTTTGAGATAGATATTCAAAAAATATGACAACACGTGAGAAGGTATTATAAAATACGTGTTTTGTTTGTTTGCGGTTTTGTCTCTTGAAAATATTTGTATACTTGAACTGTCAAGGATGTCAGCACTGCACAAATGGCGGCAAATTCGAATGATGCGTTAATCTTTGGACGACCGCTAGTATAAATATATTCAACAATAACTCAAAGTTATTTCAATCAATTACTCACATATTGGTTTTTCTCCGTTTCACAAGTTTTTTCCTTCGAAGTTCTTTCTTCTCCAAAGCAGTTGTTGCTCTGTTTTTGTTGGGAGTGAACCTGGTTTTTTGAAAAGTGTGCGGCTTCTGGTGCATCGGCTTCTGGAGAGGCTGATCATCATCATTGCTTGAAGTCGAAATTGATTCTTGATTTTCAACTTGGGTCATATAGCCGCAATCAGAGATTTCACTTTGAGAGGAAGGCCGTATAGATATCTTTTCCCCTTTTGCATTGAGCGTGCCTGAGTGAGAAGTTTCAGAGGGAGGATCGTTTGACTACAAGATGAAACGAATGATTTAGTACATTTCAGTGATGCGTACATCAAACCCTCACCTCCATACTATGCCCCATGGAAGACACTCCACTACTTGTACTTGTTTCAGTTTCAATACTGCTATTTTTTTTCATATCTGCCAAAGACTTACTCCTGTTTTGAACGGCCCTCACCATTCCATCTGTACTACATAATGTCCTTTCTGAATTCACAATGGCCTTGAATGAAAGATTAATTGAAACTTTGAACACTATACAGTGTGAAGAAACTCAAGTCGGTACTATTGTTAACTTCTGTATTATTGAAGAAACGTTCTCGGTTGAATCGGAGAACTAGAAGTGTGTTTCCGCTAATTGACGTGGTGTTAACAAAAAATCAGTTGAACATCGCATTTTGCATTCACTTCAAAAAATTATTTTTTTTGATGAGACACCCTGTATAAATCTACATTAGTCGATTGACAGTTTTCTGAACTTCTGAATTTCATTCTAAAACCAAAAATGAATATATTTCAAAAAACTTAAAAACACGCTATTAAAGAACATAATTAGTTAAAAATATTTTTTTAAATAAGTTCAAAACAATAATGAACGAAAAATACTAGTATTATCATTGTGAAAAAAAGCGACGGGGGCTTGATATACAAAAAAATTGGTACAAAGCGCCAAGGCTTTTTTCACAATAATACTAGTTTTTTTCGTTCGTTATTGGTTTAAGTCTATTTAAAAAAATATTTTTAACTTTTTAGTTCGATGTTCTTTAAAAGCGTGTTTTTTAGTTTTTTAAACTATATTTATTTTTCATTTTTTAGTTTCGTATGCTATAAAAGCGTGTTTTTTAGTCTTTCTAAACTAAATTTATTTTATCTAAACTTTGGGATCAATCAGCCGTATATTGTTTAGAAAAATGACCATTGATATTTTTCGATTCCGGAGAGGGAGCCTGGAAATCAACTATCAAGCCCAAGGCAGCAGGTGAATGAATATATGTAAAATGAGTTCAAATTATATCAAGGAGGTTGCGTACAGCGCCATCTGCCCGTAAATAGATCAAGCAATAATGTCGATAATTCTGAAGTTCTGTATCTGTATTTGTAGAGTAGGGAGGGTGAGTGTAGACTCACAGCACTTAGTTCACATGTGACTCATTGTACATTCTCCTTCTAGGTCATCGTTCATCCTGTACTTTCTAGGAAGGTGAACAGGTCAATAGGCAGGTGTAGGCCAAGACTCGCCGAACATACACTCTCTTTGGCAACTTGAGGTGTCTCATGGTGGCCTCCGCGAAGGTTTTGGAAGGTGCAGCGATATTACTGTCGTTGCCNATTATTTTAAATAAATCGAAAATCAGATTTGAAAAAATAACGATATAGATAAAACACTTACCTTATTACCACCATTACTATGCATGTTCGTGTAGTTTCCATTATCACTTGAATCAGAAGTGGGATCTGAAGTAATGACCGGAGAAGAATCATCACTTCCTTGTTCGGGGGGAGAGGTGTTGCTCTCGTTATCTTCTGAGCTATCGCTGTACGACGCTTCCAACCAGAGATTGAGAAGCTTCTGAAGATTTCCAACGTGTTGGTCTTTGTACATCAAGGCGATGAGTTGAACCATTGTGACGCCCCAATACATCTTGAATAATTATGATTAGATAGTTGTTATGAAAATATATTCTCACGTTGACAATTTCCCAGAAGTCTGATGGTTTGAATCATAATTGAAAATCAAGCATGTTTTACAAAAAATAAAATATAATAATGATGCATCTAGTGTTACCGTTTAATTCAACAAGTACACTTGTCTTGGCAATCTATTTACTCATTTTCATATTAGCTTTTGAAAACAATTAGTTGATTCGAGGAAACTGAGTTTCCTCGAATCATATCGGAATTATTATTATTCTAATTGCTGATTATCATATATCTCCTCCGAGAGAAGTAAATAATAAAAGCAGATAGTTGTCGGTTCACAGATAAATCAAAAACATCTTCAGATTCTAGTGCAGGTGTTTTCAGTNCGATTGTATTTCAAGCTGAAATGTATGCTATTGAATTGTGTGGAGACAAATTGAAAGAATCCAACCTCATGCACAAGTCAATAAAAATATTCCCGGACAGTCAAGCGGCGTTGGAAATTATTGGTTCCTGTCGAGCAACGTCTAAATTGGTAGCAAATTGCCGAAAACGACTCTCCTCAATAGGAAGACTCAACGAATTATCTCTGATCTGAATTCCTGGCCATACTGACCTGGCTGACCTGAGGCTGCTGACTCCCTTGCAAAGAAGGGTACTGCAAGCAGCTTCATCGGACCAGAACCTGTCATTGGCATCGCTTTAGGCTCTGACAAACAAACATTGAACACCTGGAAGGCAAGTAGTTTTATGGACTTTTGGCAGAAACTTTTGGCGCACTCCAACGCGTTTATTCACCTTTTGAAGCTTGATACCAAACAGTTGTTGGACTACCGCATGGATGAACTATGATGTCTAACAGGCCTTCTTACAGGTCGCTGTCATCTGAATCATCATATTCAAAGACTCGGACTGTCTAAAGACAGTGTGTGTCGTCTCTGTTTGGAAAATAATGAAACAGCAGAGCACATACTTTGTGCCTACCCCGCTACGAACCGAACAATTTGTCACTTTTAGACAAATAAGCACCTTCACTTGATATAACGCAAATCAGACATATACCACATGTAAAATTAATATTATCAAATTATACTCCAAATTCCTCAATTATTCAAAATAAGTCAGTATATGAATAATTTTTTCCCAATCAACACAACATATGTTATCGTTTCAATGATAAATCGTCATTTAAAATTAAAAATAAACAATCTCACCTTCTGCGAGCATGACATCAAATAAATAATGATCTTGTCCAGACTCTGAGTGAAAAGATTCCAAATAATCTGGTTTTGCATGCTGAACGATGAAACGGATCCAATGGAAGTCGGCGATTTGCTTTCGGGAATATGTAAGATATTGCGAAGCAATAACAAACAATTGTTGATGCTGTCACACTGCTCCAGATCTAGTTGGGAATCAGACTCTACCAAATACTTCATGTGATCCACTAATGCCTTGGTATTGCGGCCATCTGTGAAAATCTCCTTGCTGCTTGAGAGGAGTTTATTGAGCTCGAAGACGGTGTGCTTTCCGACTTCTGTGCATGATACGGCTTCGATTGGAAGCAAATACTCTACGGGAATTGTTAGATTCACAAAGATTTTGATAGTGGTGTCGATGATCTTGGTAGCGTCTTTGATTTGGGCATCGTCTCTGACATACAGTAGTAGAGGAATGAGATTTTTCCGGATGTTTTGACCGAAGCCAATCGCTCGGCGGAATGTGCGTAAATTGACATCTTCTGATGTGAGGTTTCTGAGGATTTCTTCTAGTATTGCTGTAAAAATCAATCGATAATTCTATACAGATCCCGAGCTTGGAAGCTACAAGCAAACATACAGATGAACCTAATATAAAACGTGTAAAAAAGACTTCATATGTTTTACAGATATTCTGAAACATAATAATATTATACTCTTCTTCATTTTTCTGTATCTACTTCTGTATCTCCTGCATATTATTAGTTTATTCTTATTAATGTAGGTAGATTTTAATCAGTTTCTTACCTAAACAATCATCATTGACTATGAAGGCATCACCATTTTGAACAAATAAGGATGTAAAAATGGTATGTACTGAGTTCGAAGTCACCCATGCCATAATCAGATTAGTATCGAATCAGCAATTCTGAAAAAAAATCATTTTAATATTTGATGGCAATTTTTATTTGGATATTCACGATAATAATAATAATAAATGACCTTCTTTATCAAAGAATACATCATATTGATAAAACATGTGTAAATAATCAAACAAAAATATGCACATGAATATACCAAGTCTATAGATGAGTATAAAATTTAAAATAAACAATGACAATTGTTTGAAAATGCAGTAACGAAATTGCAGTAACAACATTAGTTACGAATAAAAGTGGTGAAAAACCATAAAGTTTTATTTCTCATTTTTAATGATGATCTCCTATCACGTAATAATGGCTACATCCATCAATTCATTTATTATTTATTATTATTATCATTAATTGCCAGAACAGCACAAAAAAGAATTAATTTACTGTACTTGCTATTTTATCAAATCAGAAAAAACAATAAATATTGAAATCTTTAGATTTTGATCAAATAGGGGGATACAGAGCTCTGCACATGGATCCATTGCCCAGTAGGTTTATATGCTTTAAAAGTCGATAGGGAAGAATTTCACCCGATGATGATGTTATTTATACGATAAACAGCTGATCGGAATCACATGTGGAACATAGTGTAAACTGAATAGACGAATGTGATTTTTGTATGATTCAATGTTCGAATAAAAGTAGTTGTTCCTTAATTATTTTTCTTTCGTGTAATTCAATTTTAATATGGAGTAGTTTTTTCGAGAGGGCTTTTTCTTCCAGTTTGTATATGAAATAACGTCTATGCATGTGCATGATTTACATATCTGTGTAAAAATTTCATTTCTTTCTTCCTTTTGAAGTTTTCCACAATTTTTGTACAAAAATGGAGAAGTAGAAAGCTTTTTTTTTTCGAAAAACCTTAATTTCATTCTTTATTCAAATATGAGATCGTAACTGATATTTACTAATTATTATTACATTCGCCTCTGAGAGCTCTGTTTTTCAGTATAAAAGAGAAAAAAAATAGAAACATTTAGACATTGATTTATCGAAAAAGAAATGTCTCATGATTTAAAAAGTATTTTTGGATATCTCTGATGGCACTTTTTTCGGTAATCTAGCCAAGAATGAAAGTGTACAAGAATAATTTTGAAAAATTTACCGTTTAATCATAGGGATGAGTATGTATCCAATTTCATTGCCAACAAATTTCACACCATATATCACTCCACTCTTCAAACTGCCAAACTAACCGTACCCTGCAAATGCAGAAACTGAAAGGATTCAATGCAACTGACGTCCTTGATCTCTTACAATCACAAAACGTTTACTTTCTTTTACCGTTATAGACCGTTATAATCATATAATTATTGCATTTTATGCAAACAGCAGAATAGCGGTACATTTCTGCAGCCTAACCCTTTAATTTGTTTTATTTACATACTCTGAAAGATTACGTAAGATAGGATACCGTTAGAAATTGTTACTGTATTACTATTCGCACCCAGAATCGATAGAAACTCATACTACGTCACAAGAACATACCGAAGTTTACAAATTGATCTACATAATACAATTTTCCGTGAAGGGGTGGAATTTTCCAGTGCATTCGCCTGCGTCATACGATATGGGATGGAAATCAAATATTTCCTTTGAGATATTCCATAAAACATTGCCATAATAATCAATGTAATAATAACATATAATATAGTTTTAAAGATCTAAACATACGGACAGGACAGCGGGAACTTACTTTGTTTTATACTATGATCTCTAAGTTATAACTTAACTAATTCAAGTTGAACTACTTGATATTGAAACTGTTTATCTTGAGAACAGCTTAAGTTATCACTTGAATTGTATGTTAAGGAATATGAGGATATTAATTAAATCTTTCATTAATTATTTTGTGTATATAAATATATTGTAGCTTCCTTAAGCCAATTGTTACTTTTGTAGGAATAATAATACTAACATTGTACATACCCAAAATTAGTATAATCATTTTCGAGTCACTTTTCACATAATAAAAGAATATTACTTACTTGCTGTTTAGTTTTTTTATAATACTGTCTACAGTATATGTTTATCGCACACCAAATACTGAGCGTCTATCAGACGAGAAAGGAAGAGCCTGCCTTCCGCTGATGTATGCATGAGCGAAGGGGAAGTCATACAAACGGGCGCCGTTACGCTTTTGGTAACGAAGCGATTTACCCTCCCATAGGAAGTTATCACTTCAAAAACCTACATCAAAATTCGATACGTAGTTTTAAAGCTCTAAGCAAACATAGTGACAGATAGCGGAAGGCAAATTTTTTTATACAATGTAGTGCTAATCTAAGAGATATCATGAAAAAATTGAAATATATCATTTCTAATCAACTTTTGAGTACTGTTTCATGTCGCTAATGACCCTGCGATCGATACGATTTATCTATGAATAAAAAAAAGAACAACAGAATGGAAAGGCCTAAAATAAACTTGTAAATAAAATTTTCTATGACGCACAATTTTCTTTTTGTTTTGACTAATACATAATCGAGGATTAATTATCCGTAAGTAATATTCGTTTCAAATCGATGAAAGGTGTCAGCTTGGATATCGAAAACAATACCGTTCTGTGAGTATAATGACAGCTTCTATTATATCGTCACGTTTCCGGAAACGTGAGCGTCTGTGGAATTCTCGTAATAAACAATTTTTAGATTTCGCTTTCCAACCCGATGGAAAGTGCGCAGAGAGAATGAATGGAAATTCCAAAAAACTTTGCCTCTTAATTTGAATATACTTTTTTTCAATGATCACCCACTTTTCTCTATTTCAACATCAAGGGTCTTGTTTTTTAGAGGGTGTTTTGTGAAAATTCTGTAATACATCCTTATTTGCGACTGAGTACTGTATCAGAAAACAATAGTTTTCGTTGTTCTAGAAAAATTGAAATGTCTACCTTTTTCCAAAATGAGTGATATATTTGATAGTTCGTACTGGAAACCTGGCGTTCACGCCACTATGATGGATAAATTAATAAGAAAACAAAAATTTAGGGAGTATCTTCGTAAAGCCTCGACTTTTCGAAAAGAGAAAGATTCAAAATTCATAGTGCTTCCATATTAACCCAAATATATCGATGGGTTGGTCCGAACATTCTAAAAATTGAATATAAGAGTGGCTTTCAAAACTGAACGTACACTTCAACAAGTGTTGGGCAGTCCGAAAGACAAGACGTTGGAAAAAGAAAAGTCTGGGATTCACGAAATAAATAGAGAGAATTGTGATAAGAAATATGATGGTCAAACCAAACGGACTATATTAACTCGCTACAAGGAATATGTTTCACATTTTCGGTTTCATAGACCGGAGAAATCTAGTGTCGCTCAACATGCCATAGAGAACAACCACAAAATGAGTGAGAAATTTTTAAAATTGTTGAGACCGGTACATGACAACAGGTCTCTGGATGCCATCGAAAGCTCGGGAATCAAAAAGCGCGGAATGAGTGCTATGAATAACGACAAAGGTCCTATTTCGGACAGTCTTTTGTTTGGTCTTATACGTAATAATTCTGAATGAAAAAACGATAAAAATTAAAGACGGTCACTAAACATGAAGGAAATATATAATAAATTAGAGGTATCAAAAACAGGTAGCTTAGCATAAGATCAATAACCGATGTAGTTAGGCAATACTAACTGTAATTAGGCCACTAGGATATAAAAACACTAATATAGTAGTAAAATTTGGTCATAATGATCTCCTGAGGACGCTAACTTGGTAAGCGAAACGCGCGTCAAAAGACCGTATTTTTTTTTCTGGTGTTGGAAAAGGTGTTTCCAATAGATGTAATATAGTATGTTCATTGAATCAACTTATCCTTCACAACCTGAGAGTTAGAGCTAAATGGCTTGCTAATTCCAAGGGGTGAAGATCCTTCTGGTCGGTAGCTAAAACTGTTAATTAAAACTTTACAAAATCTACAATTCCACCATTAACACAAGCGGAGAGTTCAATTGCAACAACAGCCATAGAAAAGCAAGTCTATTAGCTAAACAATTTGCGTTCACACCTCAAACTTCACTGTTCAAGAATTCTTAAATTTAGAGAACTGCGTTTATGAGGAATGAACTTCCTGAGAACGTTTTTCCAAATGGATTCAATCTCTTATGAGTGATGTCCTAGGCATTGGCAACTTTATGTTGTTGAATTGCCTTGTCACATAATGGGTTGGTGAAGATTGAAATGTGTTCGAATATTTTTTAATTAAATAAACTGTTCCCATTATAAACATAGGCTCGTTTTTGCAAAACTAAAATATTTTGAACTGGATAGAAATTACATACTCCCCAAGATGGAATTCCATATCTCAAGTGAGATTCCACCAAAGAAAAATAAACAGTGTTAGCTGATGTTAAACCAAGTTCATTTGCGACTACTCTGACTGTATAACATCCAGAGTACATTTTATTACACAAAGCATAATGTTACTATTGGTAATGAGTTCAATTTTGGTAAATAATTCTGAATGCATCTGTCTTTTCATTCTGGGAGTCGAATTTATTCATACCCACAGTTTTATTCAGTAACCACACATGTAATTGTAAAAATGTTCCACCATATCATCCTAAAGATGACTTCATGAAAGTCGAAATGATAGTGGTTATTAGTTATTTGAACTGATCATAACCATTCCCTGCTCCGTTCAACAATAAAAGGGTGGGGGTTACTTATTTACGCACTGTATATATTTATATATTTTTCAAATAAAGATTGTGGAGATCAAATCGTGATGTGTAGTTTATGAAATCACTGTATATAATATAAATCACTCAAAACCAAATCAAGAATATAGAAACTTTTTTTTGTTTGTTGAATACGTAATTTTACTTGTTACAATGATATTGCATTTTTGTCGTTTCTTTTCAGATTTATTGCCGTACTAGCGACCTTCCCGGCTTCGCGCGAGTGTAATGCTGATATGAAATATCACCCACTGAAAGTTCGAGGGCATAGAGAAACAGTAATGAAAAATAAATTTTGTTATATGGACGCCTCTGTTTCCTCTGCGGCTGGCGCCCCAGTTGGAATATTGAAAATTCCTTTCTTATTGCACATCTGCAAATTAAAACCTATATAGAAAATTTCAGCCTACGAAAATGAACCGGTACCGAGAAACAGTGATGAAAAGGTAATTTTCATATATAAACGCGCCCGATTTATCCCCAGTGGGAAAGCCCCAGTTGGAATATTTGGAAATCGTCTCTTATGGCACTTCCACACAATAAAACGAACTTACACACAAAATTTTAGCCTCCAAAAATATAGCGGTACAGAGAAACAGTAATGAAAAAGTAATTTTCATATGTTAACTCGCCCCTATTACCTCCACGGGGGAAGCCCCAGTTGGAATATTTGGAAATCCTTCCTAGTGCTTCAAGAACTAAGAAGCACTCATATTCCAAATTTTAGCTTTCTATTAATTACCACTACGGGGAAACAGAGATGATTTTCGCATTCATAAGTTTACATAATTATTTCACTTTTATTCTGTTCAGAGAATACATGATTTGGGTTCGTCACGACGTGTTTGTTTGTTTTAAATATATTAATGAATGAAGATTTTATTGAAATTGTATAACTCACCTCAAAATTGTATACACACAATTTACATCAAGTCGCATTTGACATCAAATACACGGCTGAAAAAATTACCAGAACACCAAACCCGATATCAAAAAGGTTGGAAATGAATTATCCTTAAAAACATAAACAAAATAAGAACTCAAAATTACAACAATAAACACCGATTGTTCACATTTACGACCATTTAGTGATGAGTCCACGGAGATATTGATGTGAAATGGTTCACAGGATGAAGTTTTCACGTGCGGTGTCAACGTGATTGCGTAAAGACGTAAAATAATTACAGCAATGTGCTTTTGCGTCTCGTGCATCCCCCGCGCAAGTGTGAAAAGAAAAAGCTTCTGTTCTGTTTATTACAATGATTTTCTCATCTTCATTGTTACATAATCTATTATCAACATAAAATCTGTATTTGAATAATAAGCTTGGATTTTTTCTTTAAGGGCAAAATAACAGCACAACAGGAAAATCTTCAAGGCGCTCTAAGAGCGGTGCCTATGCGAAAATAGCGATTCACTTTGGATTTGAGTCGCTGGAGATTAAATTAATTTGGAAAATCTTTCTCAAGAATTTATTCCACATAAACGCGATTCTCCAAATGAAAGAGTTCTTGAACAGTGAAGTTCGAGGTGTATTGAGTTGAACCTCAAAACGATGAGCAGCCACAGTCCGTCGCGTTTTTCTGATTTGTACCGCTCTTGGTGGAATCAAATGTGTCGTCACTTGAACACCTCCCGTCAAAGTATCTATAGAAGATATTTATTGCTACAGCATTTTTCTGAATCACATACATCGATTAATTATTTGGGGACACCATACCATATTGATGGTATAGGGTTGAGAAAACCAGACTATATCATCTACCTTAGGTGTGACGGAGGATTTCAACGTATTAAATAATTTTGAACTATTTTTTTTTTGGAAATTACAATTATAATAATACAAGGGTTGATTCCATTTATTTGCATATTCCTCTACAAGAACCCATTTCCATATGTGATGTTCCTCAATATCATAGTTGCCCTTCGTTCATAACGGAAGGTGACAATGAAAATACAA